GCCCGGCGGGGGGGGGGGGGATGCGTGTGTGTGTAGTAAAGGATCAGAGAGTCCCTTTCACCGGTTACCGGTCCTTCCGGTCACTCTGTCGGCAACCGACACTTCCTCAATATCTCAACCTTTTGTTTTGTTTTGTTTTTTCTTTTTTCCCCTTTTCATAGGAGTGAGTTGGTGGTCATTTTCTCTCCTCGTTATTGTTTTCCGGGACAAAACATAATAAAACGTAACATGGAAATGTGATGCGGTTAAGGATTTCTCTGGTTAGTAGCTATGAAGAGGACCCCCATTGGCGCATGAGATTCGTGTCTCTGTGTATATTTCCTTAGTAGAGAGAGAGGGAAAGAGTGCAACAGAAAGCATATAGTACGACGTTTTAGAAGTGAGGATCTATAAGTATAAAGTGCCAAAATGGAAAGAAATCACCAAACAAAATTAGGGTTTGTGGGCGTTTTGTTTATTCGGCCAAAACCTTGATGATATGATTCTGATTGATAAATACATGGGCTTTGTTTCTCTTTCATTGTCGATGGAGACTAGTGCTATACTTTGATACATTGTTGTCAATGTCTCATGCACTTTTAATATTTTCATTCTCTTTTTCCAATTTCTCTATCTCCTAAACCCTAAACCCCTAGTATAGTATTACGAAGGCCCGATTGAACCGAATCTTTGTAACGATATCTGATGTTCTACTCATTGATCTTAAATTCTGCATGATTTAATATATAGATTCTAATTAAGAAATAAATGAACTTTGGTTACTTAATGTTAAGAGTACATGGCCTAGTAAATACCGACCGACTATGTGCATTAATTTGGGTATAGGGTATCGTCCAATATGTCTTCGGCTTGTTAACGGCTTTATTCTAGTTTTTTTTTCTCCATTTAGCACTTAAATCATTAATTCTTCTTTTGATGAATACAATTCACAAATTGCACTAATTGTATTTCATTTTTTTTTCTATTTCAATGCAATACCAGAGAGATAGAGAGAAACATTTGATTAGTGGTTGCAATTCATTTGATTTCACCTAAACATTTCTATTTATATCGATCATTTGGTGTTTAGATTCCGATTCTATTTACTTATATACTCGGATTCGATTATTTTGATTTTAAAAAAAATTATAACTATTCGATATTCATTCCATATTCAGTTCAATTCGATTTTTGTTGATAAAAATATTTTTTTAAAAAATCAAATTTTTTTATTTTTATTCCATTCTATTCGGTTGAGATTTGATTTAAAAAAATATTAATTATTCAATTTTTATATTGAAATTAATTTAATTATAAATATATGTTATTCGGTTAGAATGATGTAATTATTGAATTAATTGTCAAATTGATGAATCCTGACAGAGAGATTCATAATTTTCTCAGCACTTGTTTCTGAGTTTGAAGTCCGCTCATACACACTGAAACTGTGGGACCCACAAAGTCACATGGATATTATTCCCACGTGTCATATTCTTATTCGTGAAGAAAATTACATTTGTCAGAAAAAGAGACGATCCCGAGGCAAAACCACGTGATGCTCCATGGGTCCCACGGTACATGCTGTCAAGACAAAAATAATTACAAAGTTTACAAAAAAAGGGTTGTGGGTCCCATGATAAAACATGGGCTCTTACTTGTTCCCCGCGCCGGTGCGCACGTGCCGTCACCGCTGCCGACTATATACGCTCACGCACGTACGGTCAAGCGTGCCTAAAGGTCATACAACACAGATGTATGTATGTATGTATGTATGTATGTATGTATGTATGTATGTATGTATGTATGTATGTATGTATAATGTATAGGTACCGAAATTTCTCGTCTATCGGCTCAGTAAAGTCAAATTTAGGGTTCTGTAAATCAACTTTGACCCGAGAAAAAAAAAAAGATAGAGAGTCAAAAGTTTAAGTAATACCGTACCGAACTATAGGGGGCTATACACTGATATTTTACTTTTATTCGCATTAAAAAAGAGTCCACTTCTTTCAATGATTTTCGTATACTTTTTAATTACTTCTTATCAACATCATAGTTTTTATTTTTGGTGAATTTTATCAGTATCATAATTTAAATATTTTTGAATCTTACGGTTAATGTGAATTGTAATTTATCAAATCAAGATTAGTTAAAAATTACGGTTATTTTTTTAAGAAAACACATATCCAGTGGATGTAAGGAAACCTATCATGAATTGATTACTATTGGTTTTATTTAATTACACTGTTTCATACAAATGAATTAAAATTGATATTAATTCTATGTATGATTTCAATAAAATCAATTCATACATTCTATTTCATCATTTTATTTTATTTTATTTTGTTAAAGTATTTCTTCATTTTATTCAGTGTTCACGGATACTTTTTTCTTTTTTCTAAATCCCCTTTGACACTATATATATATATATATATATATATATATATATATATTTATAAGCATATAGTATTATATATGGATTTCAAAGGTTCTAAAGTTTCCAAGTTGTATGTGAGAATATCAACACAATTATTTATAGTTTAAATTTGGAGACTCTGCAAAATTATCACTAATTGTGACCCATTATTTGTTATTAGAAAAATTAATTAATTAACTCCAAAAAAAAATAAAAAGGATTACTTTTAATTGTGATATCGACTCACTCTTGTTTTCAAGCTCAAGTCAACTCTAATAACCCGACAAAATTTCATTTCATATTACAATTCAGGACATGTAGAAGGCCCCACAAATCTTTTGTTCACGAACACATGCATGCAGAGTCGGACGCACATTATATTTATTGTGATTATGCGCCCCAATCAATACAATTAAAATGGTAATTTATTATGCAAATTTATATTTACAAGTACACTGTCTATAATATTAGAGAAAATTTTCTTTTTCCCCAATCTTGGAAACCTCTTGTGGTCTAAATATATCATGTGAACAAAAATTCATATTCACGCGAAATAAATCCTCACAAATTTAATTTCAGAACTGCCACCTTTTTGAAAAACATGCAATTAAATTTTCATAATCGGTGCACCCCATAGTCGGTTCAAGAGATCACATTTTATCATTCTATCAATTAATACATTATTACATCGGTCCTCACACATGTCATGTGCACTGAAATATATATATATATTATAAGTTTTTTAACCCTCAATAATTACGATTAATTAGTTTCGTCCGAAGACGGTGAGTGATATCACGAGGCGTTCGGTTTGTCAACTTACATCAATTTAAATATGAGATTGATTATTGTCAATGTGTTCACGGATTTTTTTTTTTTTTTGCATTTGCTAAGTGAGGATGGAATTTTTTAAAAGTCGAAAACATATATATATATATATATATATATATATTAGACGTTCTTTTAGTGGTGCGCCATCTTTCAATGATCTCCTGGCTGTATTGCCTCCCAGAGTTAATTCTGTCTACTACAGGGATGAAATAGGAAACATCTCGTCTTCGCATTTACGCGCTGGCTTCCGGAAGGTAACCAGATTTGGTTTGCGCTCTCTTTGTTAAATCCCAGGCCATTCCATTTTGATATTTTACTTAATAGTGATGCATAGGACATATCTTTTAAATATTCTACGGAAAGGTAGTGTGATTGAAGCAATTTTATATTTTTGCAGTCAGAACTTGAAATTGAGCCAAGGTACCCATTACTTGGAGGTTGGAGAGCAAATTTTGACATTGGCTATAGAGTACCACTGGAGGATTTCCTCTTCGAATCACCTGATGGCAGGCGTTACTTGAACTTTACTTTCGGGTGTCCACTCGTTGAAACTGTAGTAGACAAATTGACAGTCAAAGTATGTCTTGGAATTATGTTATTTCTTTTCAAGTTATTCCACTAGAGATTATGCTAATTTGGTCACGCGCATAAATGATATATACGAATGCATGTATGTATATTCCATGTAGATACTGCTTTTGTCTTTGTAGAGTCACGAGGAGAAGTCTTTCAGAAGAAAGTGATATCGTATGGAGTGCAGTCCAAGTTAGTTCAAACGAAACTATGAAATAAAATAATTAAAAAAAAAGTAGAAAAGCAGGCAGGGATTAGAAAACCATCAATATATATATATATGACTTTCAGTGATTATATATATTCGTGTAGGTTATATATTTTACTTATTTATTTATTGTTTTTTGGGGGTTGGAGTGAGTGAGAGAGTGTTTTTGAAGTAACGATATCTTGATATGTGATCAAAATTATGAAATAAAATAATAATAATAATAATAATAATAATAATAAAATAAGAAGATATATTACTTGAATTTATTTTATCTTAAATCTATGGGAAATGTGAACCTAAGATATGAAATTAAACTATTTTGTTTCGACAGTTGTGTTCTCAGTAGAATGTATTTTTATAGAAAAATTGGTATAATTTGTGGTATTGGGTATAGTTATAATCAAAATCTTATATATATGGATCTCAATAGTACTACGACACAAAATTTAAATTCGAAAATCAGAAGATACACTATTTCGAATATTTATTCTAAAATCATAGAAAATATAAACTTAAAGAATGCAATGAAACTATTTTTGTTTTTTTATAAGTGAAATTGTGAAAGAAGTATTAAATGTGATATATACATCAAATATAAATCTAATTAATATTTGTTGCCTAATTTAAGTGAAATAATTGCTTATATTTTGATATGCGATTTTTTTTACTATAAAGTTAAATTAGCTAATATTCTCCTTTAGGCCTTAGGTGAAACATTTTTTTTTTAATAGAGAGCTCAGGTTTTCTTTTTTGGTATCTTAAAGCTGAAAAAAGCTTTCTATTTGAAATTGCTTAAGGTGGTGAAAGAAAAAGCCAATTACACTGATTATTTTTCTAACTTTTGATTAAAATATTTGTTTTTAAGATTAACCACATGATTAGAAAATATTAATTAGGTGGATTAATAATGAAAAAAAAAAATTATTATTGTGGCTAGCTTGAGGGAGAAGAGTAAATTCCAATCAAAGGGCATATATCTAATTCAATTTCTAATTCATTTCCGATAAATTTCTGGTCTAACGTCATAAAAATGCTTAAAGAAACAACAAAATAAAATATTATAATCTTAAAAAAACATAACAAATAAAATCCTCAATTTCGGAGGACTTAAGGAATTGAATCTAAATCAACCTACATTTAAAAGCCCATGGTTTTTGTCAGATGGTGAATGCATAAATTGTAAAATTTTAAAATTAAATAAAAATATTAAATTTCGGTACTTTAGGTGAAATTTATTATTTGGCAATTTTCCATATTTGTCTACTGAAATATTCAAAGTAAAATCCATATATCTAAGCCAAATTAATGTAATCCATATAAATTGTTTGAAATCAATCATATAAAAAAAATTAAAAATCTAAAAAATTAAAACAAATATTTTTAATTAAAAAATAAACCTAAATAAAATCAAATAGAATTTATTTTAATAGGTTAGTCAATTGAATAGATAAAATAAATCAAAAGAAGAAAAAAAAAGAGAGAAAAGACATGTTTCTAAAGCTTCCAAAAGACTTTTCAAAAACAGTGGGAGGATAGCTAACGAAATAAAATAAAATAAGAAGGAATTGCATACACGTACGCACGCGTTTATACGCAGCTTCGTGCCATTTACTTATGAATGATGAATTGTCTTTTGACTTTGTACATCACCGTATAAGGAAGTCACAACTTTTTAACTTTTTCTTATAACAATTTCGACATAATCATTAATTTACCCCAATTAGATTACGGAATTTTATAATATTTTTATATTTAATTACAGATATTCTACCTTATGATTATTTTTCTCTAATTAGATTTCGGAGTTATTATTTAAAACACTGGTTAAATAGTGAAAAGAAACATTCATTTAATTTAAATGACGACGACGGACGCTGTGAAATTTTAATCTAAAGTCTGGGGGCGTGGGGCCCGCATTGGTCGAGATTTTTTTTTTTTATTTAGTTATTTATTTGTTTTGCTTTAATTATGAAAAATGAAAATCAAGATGAGAGAGAGAGACTTCAGCATGAAGACAGGGCGAGGATTGGTAAAATACAGCTTGCAATAAGATGCAAATTCAAGACTCTCTCTCTCCTCAAACTCTCTTTATATGATAAATAAAAACCCAACCATTGCCTCCAATCGATCCACTCATCACTTTCCTCCACTAACTCTCTCTCTCTCTCTCTCTCAATTTCTTTTCGAAAACCCAAACAAATCTCTCTCTCCCCAGATTCTCCAAGGAACAAGGTTATTTGCTGTCTCTGCTGTTGTTGAATTATTGTTCTGTGTCTGAGTTAGGGATTTCTCTTCGAGTTTCTTTGATGGGTTTTGGTTTTCTGAGGTTCTTGTTCGTGGGTTTTTGTTTTCTTCAAGGATAATGAATCCCTCCCAAAACAAATTTCCCTCGGGAGAATTTCTCGTTAGATTTTGTGGTTCCGCGCCTTCTTCTCCGCCATTCTATCGATATTTTTTCGCCGACAGCGTTTCCCCCTCGGAATTGAATTGTTTTCGACTTGGGTTTTGCAAAACCTGTTTGGTTCCTGAGAAAACGGGACCCAAACCGGATTGTGAAAGACTAGACACGCTATTGGGTTTTCTTGGATTTTTTCTTCGTCTGTTGTCCCATTGAATTTGTCAATTTGGTACCTTGAGGCTTCTCTAATTCCCTTCGATTCTCGTGTTTTTTTTTTCTCTCACAGGATTTTCCCTGTTCAAAATCTGTATAACCTGAAACCTTCCCCGTGGAAGTTTCTCCGACAAGTCGTACGAGGTTTGCGTCTCTCTGGACTTTTCTCAATTTCTTTCAGAATTCAGTTGATTTTTCTTTTCTTCGTACAAAACAAATCTGGAAGACGTTTACTTGGAAGTTAGATCCATTAGCTTAGAGACGCCATGTCTGTGATTATCAATGTTCACAAATCCATTCCATGCAATTGTTACCATTATAACCACACACAAAATTTTGTCAAATGGTGGGCCAAACAATTAAACGCGCAAAGGGTCAAACTTCATTTTCATTTATTTTTGAAAACTTGAAGATGGGTCGAAAATTTTAGTATTTGAATTTTTAAAATTTTGAAACTTGAAGTCACAGCAAATGGATTCTGCCATTTTCCTCTGCTCCTTTTCTCATCTTGTGTCAATTTTCACTCACAGGAAATAGAACTTGAAGTTAATACAATGATTGGACAAAGCTTTGCGGATGAGATGGATTGTGGCAACTTCTTCGACAACATGGATGATCTTATCGACTTCCCGAACGAAGACATCGGTCTCGGGTTCGGGATGGGAGACAACGACGTATTCCCGAGCATCTGGTCGGCTCAGCCCGAGTCGTGGCCCGGTTCTGACCAGCTGTTCTCTTCCAAGAACAACTCGGATTCCCCCACTGAGCTCTATGTTCCGGTGAGTGAGTGAACCGGTGAACTGTCAATCCATCTAATGTCGTGTCTTCCAAGATCTTTCGCTCGTTCCAAGTGTCTGAATTCTTGTTTCCGATCTGCAGTTTGCGAACATTGTTCAGTTGGAGCAGCCTTCAGGGTTCGTGGACGATTCTTGCTCTGACAAGAAGGGAGATTCCTCATCCATTGACACCGAGTGTCGGAGCTCGAGCCCCGTGTCAGTGCTCGAGAGCAGCAGCTCCTCGTCCCAAACCGCGAATCTCGCCGAACCAATCACCGGAAAGCTCGGCCGTCCACGCACCAAACGCCCCCGTCCGGTGATCCAAGAACCGAACGAAGAAGAGAAAGAACGAGAGAGCAATGCCTTCTCCGGATTCAGCGGGGCCGAGTCTCGTCTCGTGATCAGGATCCCGAAACACTTAATTTCCGAGCACGAGAATTCGTCGAAGAAGAAGAAGAAGAAAACGGCCAAGGTCTCTCCTTCTTCTTCTTCCTCTTCGTCGTCCTCCTCGTGCCTCGATCAGGACCACGGGCCTTCTTCCTCTGATAAACCCGTCAGGAAATGTATGCACTGTGAAGTGACCAAGACTCCGCAATGGAGGTTAGGGCCGATGGGGCCGAAGACTTTATGCAACGCTTGCGGCGTGCGTTACAAGTCGGGACGGCTCTTCCCTGAGTACCGGCCGGCGGCTAGCCCTACGTTCATGCCATCTCTCCACTCCAACTCTCACAAGAAAGTCGTCGAAATGAGAAGCATGAGATGCAATGGGAACGCCATTGATGATGAGCTGATTCCAAACAACAACGCCCACATCGCCATAGACTATGTCTGAAGACGATCATCATTTCTTTGGGAACCCATGAGAGGAAACTCTTCTGGGTTTCCATGATTCAGTTTGTTCTTTTTCTTTCCAAGTCTTTTTGGAGTCATTAGGAATATTTGTCAAAGGGTTTCCGGCCAGAGCGCTTCAGCTTAGAGAGAGATTAAGAGGGCAATTAAGGGGTTAATTAGAAATTCATTGCAATTTAGTGGATGGGCTTAAGAATTTTTGGAGGGGTTAAGATAGTGAAGTTAATTAGGGTTGTGAGTTTTGCTTTAGATCTTCCATTCTTTTGTATTTTTGTATTATTTCCTTTTGTTTTTGTATGGATAGCCATTTTAAATCAGTGTTATCATCTTCAAAAAAATACATGTTCCCAATAGAAAAAATCAAAACATATCTCTTTAGTTTCTTTGTAGACAGCTTTAAGTCATAAGTTGTAACCATCATGTTGGTTACATGATAATTAAATTGCAATTTAACTAAAGATGATGGGATAAAGTGACCTAAAAAAGTTCAAATATCATCAAATTGCCTACCAAATTGAAAGGGATCAATTTCATATGTTGCTACAAAAATCGACATATTTATTGTGATTGGTTTAAATTCGCGTGCCTTTTAAGTCACCCACTCTCCTAACTATCATAACCATTAACCACCCATTTCAAAAAAAAAAAAAAAAAAAAATTGTTACGGAATATAGATTTTTTCTTTTCATTTCTTAGTTTCTTATTTTCTCAATTTTGTGTTGTTTCATTTTTAAAATACCATAAAATTGTTAACACAATGTATAATATATTTTATAAATCTCAATATTATATAAATAAACATACATCCCACATATTATAAATCTTTCACCCGGAATTAAATATGGAATATCATTTTTTTCTAATATACAAATACAAGTACAAATATGAAAAATCTACTAAAAATATAGAAATTTGTGAATAATATAAAACCTATGCTCGCCATGGATGATACACTCAAATATTTTTTTAGCTAAAAATCTTATTTTTACAAGTCATATGAGAAAATAATCTCATACAAATTTAAAATTCTACCAACTTCACACAAACACACGAGCACGCGCACATATATATGATATTAGATTTCATTATTAATTGAGATATTACATTTTATTTAACTAATTTGAATTTCTAAATGAAATTTATTCCATCATTAGGCCACTATATGGTTTAGCATTTTATTTGGCACGTTTGGTGCAATGGATAGATGGTAACGTATCTATGATGCAAGATTAACCAACTCGACTGTGACTTCACATCTCCTTCAATCATTATATTAAAATTTCACCAAACTTCATTTTTTTAAATACAAAAAAAAAAATGGTAAATGAGAACTTTCACCAAGTCCTCCTATTTTCTTTGGTCTTTAATGGGTCGGTAATTGGATATTGGCCTAATAGTTATGTATTTAACGTTTGAATTTCTTTCCCCTTGAACCTCTAAACCTTAAAAAAATACTCTATTTTTATTCAAATGTTGCATTTTTTTTATTTTTAATCGAATGAAATACTCTAATTGGATCGAAGATTGTAATAATCTTAGCACGCAACACATAACTTTATCTGTAGTCGAGTGGTTGATAAAATTCGTTTGTATACAAAAATGTTTCTCATGTATTGATGCAAGTGAATTAAAAAAAATATTTATAAATTTCCAGAATTAGATTTTTTTTTTAATAAAAACTCTAAATACAAATATGTACAATACTATCTTTATGATTCCATAAAATAAAAATGATCATAGTTAGCGGTTTTTAAAATCTTATACTACTAAGAGAAGAATTAAGGTAGGCTCCAATTTGATTTTTTATTTTTCAATTTAAATTGAAGTCATAATGGGTTTGAATTACTTAGCCTGTTGGAAGTGGGCCGACCGAGTGAAGCCCATTTCTATAGAATTCTAAACCCAATTTCTTTTTTATTTCCAAATATTGGAGAAAACGATTTTTCAAATATTACGATTGCTAAATTTAAATAAATCTATAAATGAAATCAAGAGAATATTCACAACGGATTTCCATTCTGTGTATGCCAGACTTTTTTTTATATATATTTACGAAAATATTGCGAGAACACTTGTATCATCGAATATTGAGATATTTTTTTTAAAAAAATAATAATTAAAATTGTTTTGGATATGATCCATGGTCAGGCACATTTGAACAAAAAAATTGGTGACCCCTATGGAAGAGAAAGGTGTCGTTATCTAAAATGTCTGTTGAGGATGAAGACAGCATCTGTAATGTATGATCCAATTTCCTGTCTTTATCTTTTGTTGAGGTGTCGCTTTTTATTTATTTATTTTTAATTCCTCATAAGGAAGAAAAAAATACGTTCCTTTTTTTAAAAATAAATTGAGCTAGCATAAAATTATTTTGAATTCCTCACAAGGGAGAGGAAATTAATTAATTAATTATATTTTGCTAAAAATGGGTGAATTACAGGACATCGTAGGTGATAAGCGTAGAGCAAACAAAAACTGAGAATACCGGATTCGCCCTCTTAGAAAGCTGAGAATTACGAAAATGCCAACGGAATCTACCACGTAACAAACCAATGACAATGAGAGTCGTGGTGGCTGACCATTGACCACTTTAACTGCTAACCATGGTTAGTCTCCGTCGAGTTAGGTCCTCGGACATTGTGTTACTCCGTTTTTTTCTCCTGTTAGTTTTGGTCAAATCTTTTTTTTTTCTTTTGTTTATTTCAATATTATTACATAAATATATACAAAATAATATCGACCATTACTATTAGCGTTGGAATTATAAATTAGTAATTCCTTCCGTTTGAATGTTCTAAAAATATGTTTGTATATGTATGGGTTTGAATATAATTAATGATGCTGACGGGTTTTCTTAATTGTTTGTTTAGTTTAATAAATTAAATGGAATTGTTAAATAATTAGATGGTTCTATTCGGATTTGTAGGAGATATGTTGGGAGCCTAGGCGACGCGCTACTCCGTCGCCTGCGTTTCACTTCCCTATTCATATGTCCATATTTATGCCCGGAATCTACGCTTTGACTTTCCCAAATTTGTTTGTTACACCTATATATATGTATACCTATATATATGTATGTATATTCAAAGATTTTTCAGGTTCAATTCGACAATGATATTTTTTTTATTGGATTCTTGTTGTCGTAATTATAGAACTTTAAATCTTTGGGAAATATCGGTAAGAATAAAATGGTTACCCAATTAGTGGGTAAAAAATAGTAACTAATGTTTATACGCATAAAATATAAAAATTTTAATAACTACATTATAAACTGTACAAGAAGATCAAATTACGAGAAGAGACACCTACAAATTCGTGTATATATAAAAAGAAATCATCAACAAAATAACCCAACAGATCGTGGACGAGTGGTCAAGGTTGGGGTAGAAGGTAATTCTACCTTGAGATTGAGTGTTCGATTCTTGGCTGGTGGGAAGGGAGGTAATTTCTTGGTTTATATGATCAATATATAAAGACTGTTCCCGAGCCGAAGGTTTACCTAATCACGGTAGTATGGATCCTCCGTTATCAAAAAAAAAAAAAGATACGCTGATATTTTTTCATAAAAATATATTAAATTTCAAATATTTTGTTTTTTGCAACCGAAGAAAAATAACACCAACAAGTTAATTCGTGCAACAAAAAAGAATTAGCAAACCAATCTATAATATCATTAAATCTTTGAGGAGGAAGAAATAGAGAAAAAAAAAAGACAAGTTTTTTTTTGTATTAATAACTATTAAAAATAAAAGACAAAGTGTGCTGAGCTGTCGTCAAATTAAATAGGAGAATGCAAATACTAATATGTGAGGACGTGGACGCACGCGCCGACAGCAACCTTAAATAAAGATCAGTACTCGTGTGTTGTTTTGTGTGTACGCATTTTTTTTTTTAGATCGCGAGGAAAAAAAAACTTTATAATGTCTAAACGAGACCATGACGAAATTGAAATTATAAAACAAAGATTCGTGAAAAAAAAAAATTATTTTTCTTTTTTTTTTTGGTAAAAATTTCTTTTTCTTTGCTCTCACAGGAAATAAAGTTGGCAGTTTTTAGAATTACCAGAAGTCCCCTTAAAAAGGGATGGACTCTCTCTACTAAGATCTAAAAAATCCCTAATCCAAAGCCTTCTTCTTCCCTTTTTTTTCCCTTCTGATAATCTCTTTTTCTGTTCACTGAGAATCTCAAAAGCTATTTTCTTCCCCCCCGGGAGAAAATTTCATTCTTTTTCTGTTTGTTCTTGTTCTTTTGCTTGGGTTTTGATTTGAAGTTTGGTAGAGGCTTTCGCTTCACTGAATTCTCTTCAACTCAAAGGTAATATACCTTCTCTTCCATTTTTTTTTTCTGGGTTCTCTCTGAGTTCATGATTTTCCCAGATTTGATGGTTTGATGTCTTGTGTCTGAATGACCCATGTCAAAATTTTCTGTCACTTTTCCGAGAAAATCCTGTTTTGTTAGGTGGAGATGACTAACTAACATACAGCAACATAAATTGTGTTGTCTGTTGCAGTGTTCTTCGACTCTAATTGGTTACCCTCAAGCCTCTTACTGATTTCTCCCGTCAAAAAAAGGCTGAATTTTTCTCCTTTTCACTGACAGATTCGATCGAGCAAGACACTGATTCATCTCCAGAGACACCCAATTAGAGACAAGTATGATAAATGTTATGAACTCGTTGAAAGATCCGATCAAAGGAAGCGGAGAAAAATGCTTAGACCCTCAGCTATGGCATGCCTGTGCTGGTGGCATGGTTCGTATGCCGCATACGAACTCCAAGGTCGCTTATTTCCCACAGGGACACGCCGAAAATGCTTACGACCGAGTCGATTTCGGGACTTTGCCCATCCCTGCAATGGTTCTTTGTAGAGTCTTAGCCATCAAGTACATGGCTGATGCTGAATCCGACGAGGTTTTCGCCAAAATAAGGCTAATGCCATTGAAAGGTGACGGCTTTGATCACGAAGATTGCAATGGCGATGGAGGTTATGGTAACGTTTTCGAGGGTAACAATGAGAAAACGCCTTCCTTCGCAAAGACGTTAACTCAATCTGACGCTAACAATGGCGGAGGATTCTCTGTTCCTCGTTACTGCGCAGAGACTATCTTCCCGAGGCTCGACTATAATGCTGAGCCGCCAGTCCAGACCATTCTTGCAAAGGATGTTCATGGAGATGTTTGGAAGTTTAGGCACATATATAGGGGAACCCCTCGTCGCCATCTCCTTACGACGGGATGGAGCAATTTTGTGAACCAGAAGAAGCTTGTGGCCGGAGATTCAATCGTCTTTATGAGGGCCGAGAATGGGGATCTCTGTGTCGGGATTAGACGGGCGAAGAGAGGAGGGATTGGGAATGGACCCGAGTATTCATCGGGTTGGAATCCGATTGGTGGAAGTTGTGTCTATGCTTCTCTTCTAAGGGAAGATGAAGGCAGTAACCTAAAGAGAAGTTGCTCTCCGTTTGATATAAAAGGAAAAGTTACGTCCGAATCTGTTCTTCAAGCGGCAACTCTTGCTATAAGTGGAAAGCCGTTTGATGTAGTGTACTATCCGAGGGCAAGTACTTCGGAGTTCTGTGTGAAGTTGTCCGAGGTTAGGGCTGCAATGCAGATACCGTGGTGCTCGGGTATGAGATTCAAGATGGCTTTCGAGACGGAAGATTCATCTCGTATAAGCTGGTTTATGGGGACAGTTTCATCTGTTAGCGTCTCGGATCCTGTCCGCTGGCCCGATTCTCCCTGGAGGCTTTTACAGGTATCCAAATCATCGATATCATGTATCATACTGCAAATATTTCATGTATTTGTGTGTGTGTATAGTTCGGGCTGTACCAATTCAAAGCTGTAAAACGTTTCAGGTTGCTTGGGATGAACCGGATCTACTCCAAAACGTGAAACGAGTGAATCCATGGCTGGTTGAATTGGTATCTAACATACCCTCGATCCCGTTTTCTTCGTATTCTCCATCGAGGAAGAAAATGAGGTTTCCTCAAAACCCGGATTACAGCCCGATAAACTCGATATCAATTCCTTCATTCTCAAGCAATCACCTCGGGTTGGGCAATCCGTTAGGTTTAGGTTGTGTCCCGGATAATGTACCTGTGGGTTTACAGGGAGCCAGGCATGCTCAGTACGAGTTATCATCCTCGGATCTGCACCACTTGAATAGGCTTCCGCCTGGTTTTTTCCCGATCTGTTTTCAGGGTTTGGACCGTTCAGTTCCTTCCCTCGGGTTCCTCCGCCATGGAAACCCGCTCAGAAATGCTGAGAACGACGAGAAAGGATCTTGTTTCTTGACGATGGGAAGCCCTAAGCATATCCTCGATGAGGATACAGAGTCCAAAAAGCCTCACATTGTTCTGTTTGGCAAGCTCATCCTCCCCGAGCAGCCGAAACCCGAGAATGAATCCGCAGATACAAATACTAATCTAGAGAAATCCCCGATTTCCTCAGGCGGGTCGAGCCAGAACAGCGGTGGAAGGGAAAAATCTTTGTCGGAAGAAGGGTCACCTTGCAAAGACAACGATGATGTAGGAGGATTGGAGACAGGGCATTGCAAAGTGTTCATGGAGTCTGATAATGTCGGAAGAACCTTAGATATATCGGTCCTCGGCTCGTACGAAGAACTTAACAAGAAGCTCTCCGACATGTTTGGCATCGAGAATCCGGAGATTTTGAGCTCTGTTCTCTACTGTGATGCATCAGGAGCCATCAAATATGCAGGAAACGAACCATTCAGGTAAACAAGATTCAACCTTTCGACATTACAGTGATTAGTTCTGTCTCTGAATTCCGATTTTCGATCTATTCTCAACGAAAATATGCATATATAAGTATCGTTTTCTGGCACGTTTTCAGCCATTTTTCGAAGACGGCGAGAAGATTAACGATTCTGACGGATCAAGGAAGCGAGAATGTAGTGAGATAGAGAAGAGAGATTTGGTCTGAATGTGAAATGAGTTCTTATCTAACGTTGTATAGTTCATAAGACAGACTTCTGTTCCACTGTTTAGTTCCCTCTGCTTTGGATTTTTTTTTTTTTTTTTTTTTTTTTTGGGGAAGAAAAGAGCGAAGCTTCTTGTTGTTGTTTTTTTTTTTCCCGTATCGTGTTTTTCTATGTTGTTTCCAAAGAAACGGATTCCACATTTCCTGGATAATTCCTCTGATAAATAATAAATATGAAACTAAGTGGCGAGTAAATTCACAAAAGTTTCTTATTGGTAAACAGAGTCGATACAAAATAAATAAAAAAAATCTAATTAATTGAAACCCCCCTCAAGGATAAATTCCCCAAGACGGTTAGTTGGAGAGTGATGTGGATGAAACAACGGTCGGATCCTATGTTTGACGAAAACACCCACAAGGTCATCCATCGACAACACAAAGTCGGTTGCATCACTGTCTCTCCATCTATATATATATATAAAAAATATTATATGACCATCTCATGCCAATGCTTCTTCACTTCAAACCCATTACTTATTACACACACACACATATATATATACACACACACGAATCTCGATGTAACTCTTCTTGGTGGTGCCAACTGTACTTCCCACACTGAATCCACACCATACCCACTGTATTTGCGCTCAAATTAAGCTATCAAAACGATATTTATAACTCATATGTATATATATATATATAGAGGGAGAGAGAGAGAGAGAGAGACTATGAACTAATTACAATGAATATATATGGTTGACAAAGAATATTTCATCGATTACATAGGTACAAGTTTTCTAGTTTTACATTTGAAAAAAACGTAGACATTTGGATGGATGTGATTTGGTGTGAACGGACGTCCCATATATGTTACACGTAACCAAGGTTTTGTTTTTTCCACTAATAACATGTCATATGTCGTGATTAGATACCAAATTAACTCAATCTTCAAACTTAAGATACGCACGATTGTGTACATATGAACGATATAAAATATAGTGGGTTAGTTCACATATTATAAGAGTGACAACCCACGTCCATAAGTTGACTATCTCGAGCTACAAACAGACCAAACAAGAAAGAAAACACAAAAAGCGAGAGGATTAATTAATTAATTAAGTAAACCTAAGTCAAATTAATGAGAAAGAGTATTAGACCTAGGGTTCATAAAACATATAAACCATGGTTGAGTTAAGGCCAGAGACAAAGGTAGCAAAAGTCAATGGAAGAGACAGAACATCGAACGTGGGAGACCTTGAATACATATATAAATATATATATGCGTGTGTGTGAGAGAGAGATACATGCAAGATATAAAGAAAATGAAATGAAATGAAATGGGAACAGAGAAATAAAAAGGGGCACGAGGCAGACAGAGATTCGCGAGGCAAGGAAATGCCAACGCAACGGTACGAGTACGTGAAGAAGCTGCATGCGACGAACATGCATCTGTCCTTTTTCCTTCTTACGTAACCTTCGCTCCCGCTCTTGTCACGTGTGTATTCCATCTATGCTTCTTTCGCATTAAAAGCGTGTGAAATTTTATCCCAAATATTTATTAAAAATCCCGATGAATTTAAAACGGATTTATCCATCATCTTCTTGTTTTTGTGGCTTTTGTTATTTCAATCTAATGATTAAAAGAAAAAACAGATATAATTCGAATGGTGTAAATATTGCAAACTCTTGAAAAACTTGTCCCATTAATCTTTGATGAAGTGAACGGGTGAATTTCGATTTTTTATTTGTCATACGAACTCTATAGTTATTTGTTTGAATATGAAAAATCTTACAATATTTAGATCAACAGACTGATACTTTCCATAGCCTAAACCGATTTCGATCAGCTAAGAGAAAAATATCAGGTGAGGTGATAAAAAATATGGTCAACAACATACGGTTCGACTTCTTACCCGCTCACTTGTCGCTCGTTAATTATAATTAATTTATCTTCCAGGTGTATGTCGTGGGTTCGTGTGCACGTAGAGGTTTAGCAAGTAAACCCGTGTGGAGGATAGTAGTTGAGAGAGAGAAAAAAAAACGATCGATCAGATAAACAAGATACAACGGGGTCTAGCGTATATTAAAGAAAGAGGTTTCGGGATCCGAGAAAAAAATAGCGGATCAGACAAAGATTCCGTAAACTGTTGTTGGGCCACGTGATTGGTCCGAATCCAACCCATTACGGATTCCACGTGATTGGTCTGAGCCGGACCCATTGTTGGAAAGATGGATACTTTTGTCTAGCTTTGACCATTTAGGATTCCGATTCCGATTCCGATTTAAATTCCATTTAAGATTTGGATTTTTATGGTTTACATAAACATTACGCCATTGAATTCGATTCAATTTTTGAATCCCCCATCAAACTCCATAGAAGTATTCATTTAAAAAAATCTCAATTATTTTTTTCATATTTGCAGTCAATTTTTTCGACTTTAAAAAAACATACCCATATAAATTTATATCGGACGGAATTCGAGTATATACATATATATTACCGGTTTGGCTTTGCATAGCCGGCCACCCATAGTTAATTGGGTCTCCCATAATTGACAATTGATTTTGTAGACCACCGACGAGAGAGACCACAATCGAATCAGAGTATTTAAGCGTAATAAAGAGACGAGATGTGCATTTGTTTCATCCCAATTATCGTTAAGGCACGAAAGTATTATATATATATATATTATACAGATCATATCCATCACACACGACAGTACCTTTTGTTTAGCAGCGCGGCCTTCCGTTATTTAACTGAAACCAAAGAAGAAGAAGACAGAACACTGTAAGCATACTTATCAGGATTTAAGCAGATACAGAGAAGAAGTCAACTTCCTGATGCTAAGGAACAATAGTACTGAATACCATAGTACGGAAGCTATGCTTCACATCATATACAGGAGGAAACCCACATCCCCCAAACAAAAAGTGAAGCATTTTTTTTTGTAGAACCAGTAACAAGGGTATGTCATCATTCATCCACACTACACAGCATACAGATCTCTCACTCAGTCAGAATCCCTATTTCGTTCATTCATCCTCAAACAATTCGACACCGAATACAGATATGGAAAAGAGGGTGAAGTTCCAGATCGACGGTCAAGTGTTTTCGCTGTTCAAATCAGGATACATCTATTCATTTCCATGAAAATCACACCCCCTTTGTTCACTAAACCTTGTTTCAGCGGAAGGTATTATCAAAGGAACATGACAAGCGTAATATCTATCAAAATTTTCGAAATCGTTATCAGATTACAGCCCCCCAAAGGAGTGAAAAATCCCAACTGGATTCAAGCTGTTACGTCATTTTATGTTTCCACTGCTTTACGTTGTAGAGTTCAAATTCTTCAATGGAAACCCGAAACCAAGCATGCTTCACCAAAGTTCTATGTTTAAGAACATTCAACAAACGAGACTAGCCACACAAACCCTCCAACCGAACCTTTCTCACCCTCCCAAATCCAAAACCCTCACCCCCTCCAAAATAAAACCCAAAATTTCAATATGACGACCACAAAAACGGTTCACAAAAACCCTAATTGGATTATCATCTACGAAAATCATGTGCTCATAGTTCCATGATTCAACATCCTTCAACGAATCCTTCCTCTCCTTCAAAATCCAACACCCTAACCCAAAGACCATATAATTCCACACAACCACTCAAACCGTTCATAGAAACCCTAGTCCCAAACAACATCAGAGACTGAGAAGCTGAATAATCGACATACGCACGTACCACCGATCGAGGAAGAAGGGATGAAAAGCATTTAGTTGTAGTAGAGCTCGAGTCCCATGCCGTCGTGGATCTCGTAGTCCTTGAGAGTGATGTGATCCTTGTAGATGTTGTACCACTTCTGGATCCTGATCTTGTCGGCTCGAGTTCCGGTCTGCGCCGCAACCAGCTTCTTCAGATCGCCGATCGTATCATCCTCGTTGCACTTCACTCGCACCTTCTTCCCCAATCGATCGTTGAGCACTACTTCGATCATCTTCTTCCTCTGGATTAGGCTCCGGTTGCTCTCTTTTGCTTTTGGGAATTCGAAATCGGAGATGGTGAAATGAACCCTAAATTCCCTTCGAATTGATTTCGAATATATACCATCAACCAAAATTCCTTTCTCTTTATATATTTTTCGTCTTACAATACAATGGTTTTTATTTTTTGGAAAAAAAGTTCTTTCGAAACGACGCCGTTTTCATGGCCAATCAAAGAGGCGCTACCGACTACCGTAGTATTTACATTGACATAACAAAACAGAGGAAGAGAAGAAAACTATACACACTCATTTACATTATCCATGTATATATACACACAGACAACAAGCTGATTCATACACATCCTACATCTTCAGTTATAAACCCTAGTTTTGACCTAATCCAGTTTCGGGATTTCATAGGAACTGGTCTGAAACAGGAGGGTTGATGTTCAATAGCTTCATCATGAAGTTAAACTTAGTGTCTGGAGAGGAGGTCTTGGGTTGTGGCCAGTTTGCTCCATCAGGGACCTTAATGGATCTAAAGCCTTGGTCTTTGTACAGTTTTGTCGCTCCCAAGTTGTTCTGGTCACAGTGAAGGGCGACGGCTCGGCATCCCCATGTCTTGGCCAATGCCTCTGCTTTCCATATCAGTCTTCTCGCTATCCCCTTTCGCCTGAATCCCTCCCGAACCGCCACATTCGATATGTAACCTATCCCTGTCCTGTTTTTTTGGTAGGATCATAAGTGACATTGACTTGTCAGAAACAGAAATACAATAGAAGTTTAACTCCAGACAAGATAGATAACATGCCAAACGAGTTTCTAAATATGACATCCGAGTGGGAGTACCAATTGGGTCTTTCAGCATTCGCTATTTCGAATGAGTTTCTAAAATTATATCGGATTATATCACAGATATAAAAGATAAAGAAGCCACCTTCTCTGGCGGAGAGGTCCTTCCCTCGGAAGGAAATCAGCCACGGTGTCCATTGTCAAGATCCCGGCTACGTACCCTGTATTTAGGCTGATTTTCGCATCGAAAGCTCCGATTTTTGTACCTTTGCTTCCGAAGCAAAAGGTTTCGTCCATTGAGGTACCAATGACGGCAACTAAACAAGTCGTGTGGCAGCCAGCAGGAACAGAGAATCCTAAAATCATAGCCATCAGCCTATCTACTCTGAGCACAACATCTAGAGGGAATGAATAATCCGGGAAGAACGAGCTGCAGTGGGTCTGGGAACTTCCCAACAATCCTCTAATCTTGCTTCCCGGACAACGATTTCAGGCGACATAGCTGGAAAAAGTTCAGCTATTTGGCTCGCCCTCCATGCTCCTCCCAAACCCAAACAGAGAAAAACTCATCAGAACTAGAATAAATTTATGCCTGAAAGCTGAAACAACATGCGTGCACATGAGGAGACAATATCATGTAAACTAAACTTAAATGTGCTACTGTCCTCTCTCTTTGACAGGCATTCACCAGTTACAGTGATATAACCAGACCCATGCTCAAGAAAAGTGGGCAAATGTCCTTTACTCTTCAAGTCTATTGTATTCCTCACAAGAGACAGAGAACTCGTCTTCATCAAGCAACTGTTTTGATCAAACTATGCAAAACCACTAAGACCCATAACATCTGATCCCTGAATCACCAAAATCTGCAAACCTAATCCAAAATTCAAATGCTGCAACCAATCGTTTGGTAGGACGATCGGCTAAAACCATTTGGATAGGACAAGATTCAGTCATAGATGGCCAACGCTCATAACCTATCACCAGCTACACCGCCATGGTTTTCAACAACAAAAAAATCGTTATTTAACTCATCTGGGTCGAGAATTTAGAGGGCCACATCCATGTTCTCTAGATTTACATCTGAAAAGATCAGATTACAGGAGAAATCCAAAACCTAACCAAAATCAAAGCTGATGAGATAAAGAATCGTGGAAATCGAAAGGGGACAAACCAGAAGCGGGAGACGAAGACGAGGAATGGAGAACCCTAGAAGGGATAGAAGATAGAGAGAGATGGTATCTCCGGAGACGGAGAGAGGAGGAGGAGGAGGAGAAGCAGCCATAGGTGTGGTGCTTGACGAAGGCTGGTGATACTGCCGCCGCTGTCGTCTCCAACAGTGAGCTCCTCATTTCTCGGAGAATGTTCCCTCTCCCTCCCTCCCTCCCTCCGTTCTTCCCAACGGAAGAAAAATCTTTGCAACTTTCCCAAGAGACAACAGATTTGCCACAGCTGAAGTGGGCGAAACCGGTTTGAAATGCCCTTTTTATTGTTTGGGATTTTTAATTTTGAAATCTTCGATATTTATTTTAAAAAAATCATTCCATCATATTCAATTCAAATTCAATTAATTTCGTGAAATAAAATTCATATTCCAAATGTAACTAATTATATTTTTAAAAAACTCAAACAATCCTATGCATCGGATTCTCTTTATAAATATATGATTAGATATTGTCCTATTTTATTGGGTTTTATATTTCCCAATAGAAATATTCACTTTAATTTCCATATAATAAGTCTACAGCGGTGCATTTAATCAAACATTCCTATTGTAGAATTTAAAATTATCATAACTAATTCACACTCTAAATCGAATCAAGCCGAATCAACCATATGCCTAAGTCAACACTATTTTTCATGTGTTATACATTTTATCTCTAGAATATTTTTTATTATATATGAAAAAATATGTTTAAGATAGATAGTTACTGTTATATTATTAATAATAATCTTTATACCGATCCTTTTGCACCGGATATGAACAAAAAAGATCTCTATCTTATTACGTTAAAAAAACATGATTTTTTTTTAAAATTTCGAAATAATTATATAATTTTTTCACTTTTAAATAAATACAGAATTTACATATTACCTCTTCATAACCATTGGACACCTCAGTCAACTAACGGAGCCACATTAGTAAAATACGTGCATTTATTTAGAAATAAAAATAAATGTATTTATCTAAAACTTTTAGAAACTTCATGATCTTTTATCCATATATAATATAATATGTAAAGGTACTTAACTAATAACTATATATATTATAATAGTAATTACTTAACCTCTCAAAAACAACAAAAGCAAAAAAAAAGGCGTTTTTCACTTTATTTATTTTATTTACTCTTTATGGATTCTCCTTTTTATTAGCATCGAATCCAAATAGACGTTAGATCGGATTCCATCACCTTTAGAAGTTTTACATTTAATTCTGTGATTAAAGCAGATAATTACGTAATTAATTCAATGGTTATGAGACAAAGAAGATAAAAAAAAGGGGGAAACAAAACGACAAGTGAAGCCGAGTAAGAGCTCCATGATGTGTCTGTGAGTTGTGGGATCCCATGTGATTCTCTCTTGTTTGTTCATCCAATTCTTTAATTTTCTACTAACTAGATAAGACCCGCGCGATGCGCGGTTTATTTTTTTAATATAAAATATTTAGTTTTTTAAAAAATTATTGATATAAATATAATAGAAATTGATATATATTATGTAAAGTTAAATTGTATTATTATATCAATAAACATATGTATATATGAAAAATGAAATAATATAAATATCATTGTATTGTTATAGTATACAATTATCTTTATATATGTGTAGTATATGTGTTGAAATCACTAATGAGGAATATATCTCCATTGTTTTGTTTTTTTGCATGATTTTGAAACATTTTTTCTTGACACACTTCAATTTAATGTACTATTCTAATGTTTTCAACTGTAAATCTTGTATTATATGTACTGTTTGATAATTTAATACATCGTATTTTTTAAATCAATTATTTATAATGTATTTCGTATAAAAGGAGTTGGATATGAGTTTTTTTTTTAATCTAACCTTAGGGTTTTTACAATGTTGAAAATTTGTCTATAGGCGTATCTTTTTCATTAGAGTTTTCTGTATGATCTAGCTAGGATTTGTATTCCTGTTGTAGATGTTATATGGAAGAGAGAGTAACATACAACTGACCATGATTAAAAATAAGTCGTGACAGATATACACTTAGTTGTTTAATATTTTGTCTTCGGTTTTTATTTATTATCATTGTATAACATAATCTCTAATCGAAAATGATCCTTTTTGTAATGTCAATAGTTGTTTCGAATATGTTGGTGATTGAATAATGATTGAAAATATGAAAATATGAGTATTGTATGAACCATGTATAAGAGCAATATCAATTATTTGTTTTGTTGTTGATATGTTTTTTCGATCTTATAAAAAAATTTAGTTCATGGATAATATTAAAAATGATGTTATTATAATTTTTTTATTTAAATTATTTTTAATATATTTTGTATAAAAAGAGTTGAATTGAACTCATTGTTTTGGTAATACGTTGAAATTTGTCATGTATATCATATATATTTACGTTTCATTTATGTTTAGTCATAAATTTTTTTTGTTACTTTTTATTTTCATAAAATTTGTAACTTTTATATGTATATACATCATCTACACTCCTTTTGGAGTGAATTCAGGGAAAAAACACTTCAATTCTCCAACAATCTTCGTCTTCTTCATCTTCAACATGTCATTTAAACCAAATTTCATTATTATATCAAATTAACACTTTTTGAAAAACATTATCTTATTATTATTATATAAAATCAAGTAATATGTTTATTATTTTATAATATATTCTACTACTCACACAACATCATCTACAAATAAATAGAAAACTCAATCCAATAAAATATTCTATGACAAATATATAGATGTAAATTTTTTAAATGATAACTATCATATTTAACATTATCATTTTCAGTATTATTTTATAACTATTTGTTTTACATAGAAATAAAACATAATTTTTTCCTACTTGTATGTGTTTTTAAAATATATGATTTTGTAAAAATTTAATCATATAAATATATTTTTAATAAATCAAACTAATAATATGTAATATTTTTTTTATTGAATTCATACTCCACCATCTTGCCGAACGGAGGAGCTCCAGCGAGCATAGTGTAAAGGACGATGACACCGTTCCCAACATTGACTTTAACTGGGTATGAACTCGCTGTGAGATCCCTAATTTTTTAAAAAAAAAACATTAAACTTTTCTTTCTTTATTTTAGATACAGATATGAGCC